CACAAAGAGATTAAGGAGCCATTACTCAAACTCATGCCAATTTGATGCCAAGGTACATATCTTTCAGTCATTAAGCTAGCTTGCACTCAGTGCTCCTCTCCTTAAAGCTCACCCCTTCCCCTTATCTGCAGCCTCTTAAAATGTCATTTTATTATTTTTATTTATAGTACATTAATTTCTCTTTCGTGGACATAGAATTTATGTATTTCTTTGCATATAACTTTCATCTTTTGTTGTTATTTATACTTCCTTTTACCATCTTCATTACGCTTTTTGGTGGGTTGCTCCTTTCCTTTTTGGTTTGGTTTTATTTTTATCAGAATTCTTTCTCTGCAAAATTCTTTTACCATGGGATTTAGAATTTGGAATTTAACTTTTACCTGGAATGGTTGTTCACTTTTACCTTCTTATCAATGTAGACATATAGACAATAAACCATAAGAACATTTTCATTAATCATGGTTCATTTTGCCTCCCCAAATGCCAAATGAGATCTGACTGTGCTCATGCTGGTCTTTGCAACCATTAACCCAACGAAAAAAGTTTAATTTTCATAGGACAATACATGCTCTTTTCAATGCAGACAAAATCTGGCTGACAGCCTGATTCTCCAGCTTTACCTTGTTTGCTGATGATAACTCCTGAATCATGACAAGTTCACTTTTCCCTCTTGCTATTTCTCATCCCATGGCTTGAATGTTTTGTTTTCTGAGTATTAAAATGATATATAATAAATGCAAAAAAAAAATCCAGAACACCCAAAAGAGGAAAAAAGCCCTCAAGGATTACCCACAATACTCTCTCCCAAGGGGAACTGTGATTACCAATTTTGTAAATATCGTTCCAAATATATTTGCACTTAGGCTGGGCTAAAAGCCAGCTGGGCGTTAAGTTACATGGAATTATATAATAATATTTATTTTAACAAAACATTGTCCATGCTGAGATAGACACACACACACACACATTCTACCTCAACACTATGTTTTGGACATCTTTACATGTGGAGATATATAGGCATTCATTTTCTGTACTACTCTGTAATACTTCACTGCACATGTGAGCCATATTTATAGGATTCATATCTTACTAAAGGAGAGCGAAGTCCTCTTTTCTTTCCTTAGCTTCCTCCTCCTCCTCACCCTCCTTCTTGTTCTCGCCCACTTCTTCCTTTTTACTCTTTTTCTCCATCCTCTGTATCTTACTCTTCTGTTTCTCTTGCTCCGCCCCCGGCACACCATACCTCCTTCCCCTTATGTTCTTCCTTTTCTGCTCCTTATGCCCTCCTCCTCTTTTTGTTTTTTAAAGATTTTATTTATTTATTTGGCAAAGAGAGAGACAGCGAGAGAGGGAACACAAGCAGGGGATCGGCAGAGGCAGAAGCAAGTTTCCCGCCGAGCGGGGAGCCCCATGCGGGGCTCGATCCCAGGACCCCAGGATCATGACCTGAGCTGAAGGCAGATGCCCAACGACTGAGCCCCCCAGGCGCCCCGCCCTCCTCTTTTTGATCTTCCTCCTCTTTGCTTAAACATAACGATTCTGCATTAAGTCTACTGGATTTCTTAATTTTGATTTTCTTAGTACTTTGTTTTCCTTTTTGCTCCTTCCCCTCTATACTTACATGGGGATTCTAGTCTCCCCTCTACTCTTACAGCTTTGGTCCATGATATTCTTCCCCATCCCCCCATTCTGAGTAGTCTGGACTTTCACTTTGACTTTTATTTCCATGAATAACTAAGATGAGAGATGTTAATAGTCTTGCTGATGATTACACAGTAATTCCTGTCAGAGCCAAGTTAGAAATTGGTTTTCCTGGGTTTCAGAACTAAGGTCTTTTCACTAGATTGAATTGCCTCATCATGGCTGAGGTTAGAAACAGCCTAAAGAAAATAGCCTAAAAAAAATAGCCATGGGGGAAAAAAAAAAGAAAAAGAAACAGCCTTAAATGTCCTATGTAAGTCACAGAAGCAAGCAAACAATGACAACAACAGCAAACAAAAATAAAGAAGAGGAGAGAGAATACTCACTAACTTAACTAGAGGGACTTAAATTTAGTGTTTTCTTTGCTCAGTGACTTAGTATCAGGTGAATTAAAAACAAGCTCTTCGTGAATGTTTGCCAACTTATGTTTGTTCCAAAAATATTAAAAATGTATGGCTGTTAACCTACCCAGCAGTGTCATTTGACACATAAGCTTATAGAGCATAAGAAATACAGTCAATAATATCTGTACTTAGAGGTAAGAGAATCATGCCTGATATATTAACTTAATTTCTTTTTCAGAATTAAAGGAGTTTGTATACACATTCTGTACATAATATCAGGTAGTCAAGATTTGGTCTTTTAATCTTTTCCCTAAATCCTCACAAGTAAATAAAGACATTATAAATATTTGATTAGGTAAACCAAATTGGAAGATGAAAACAATTGGTCTTATTAAGTGTCTCTTGGCATAAGTTTTTGCAAAGCCAAGGTCTCTTCCTCTATGGCTTTTCTCATAACCACTTTTGTTTCTTCTTTGGCAATTGTTGCTTCCTGCTCTGGGGCATTTCTTACCCAAGTCACCCATATGACCTGTACTAAATCATGATTGTGTTGTCCATTTATGATGTATCAGTTGTTAAATTAATTAAATAAGGAGGCCATTAAACTGGGGTGCTCTAATCTTTGGCAGCCTATATAAACAAATCATAACCTAAGCCTGTAAATGTCCCAAGGTTATGAAATTGAAACCTAAAGACAATTGGTCACGAAAAGCCAGCTGGGCGTTAAGTTACAGCCAATCAATAGTTTTCTTGCTTTGCTTCTGCCTTTTCTCTGTAAAAGTCTCTCCCTGAGCTCCTGTCGATGGAGTGCCCCTAACCACATCCGGTTTGACACTGCCCAATTTGAATCACTTTTTTTCAAATAAACTCTTAAAGCTTTAAATTTACTTCGGTTTATCTTTTAACACTGTAAAGTAAAAAGACCGCATTTGAAGAGCAGATGGAATTCTTTTTATGCTGCTGAGATTTACCTTTAAAATGAAAGGAGATTGAGCACTTACTCTGGCATTGCTTCAAGTGTTTAGAAGAGATTTTTGAGAGAAAGGGGGTATTCTCCTTGTGAATTGCCTTCAGAGCCTATTTCGAACAAGAAGTATCCACCTACCCCCCATAAATCTGGAGTAGTAAAACAGTTACTAAAAATAGTCCACTTATTGCTTTTGCATCCCTCGGTAAGCTCACCAACATTTCTGTGTTTCAGTTTCTTCAACTCTAGAATGATGATAATAATAGACCTTAATTCACCGAATTGTTCGAAAGGAATTAAATATCTTAAGTACTTAGAGCAGTGCCTGGCACATGATACATGCTATTTGCCTTTGCAGTGTCTCCTCCTCCTACTATTACAGCTCCCGCTACTTCTGCAACCACTGCTACGACGAGTAATAACAGTCCTCCCTCCTTCCGTGTTAATTTACGAATTTAGTGGCTCCAAGTGACTTTTGGCTGTGTCTACACACAAAAACATCCCCCAAAGATGAAGATTTGCTGCTAATGACACAGTGAAAAGGTGTATTGCAAGATCTAGTCAATTCTGAAAGAGCAGGCCCCAAAGTGTCTTGAACAAGGAAGCAACATTGGAATAAACCTAAAACCTCTCAGATGATGGCTTTGAAGGCAGCCCTTCTCATCCGGATGTATACTGAACGATTTTTAAATAGTCAGTCATATTCTTTACATCTTGTTTCTCCAATATAAATACACTTCTTGAAGACACAAGTTGTATTTCCCACTTCTGGGCACTCCCCATAGCATTCAGCACACTGTCTTACAAATTGCAGATGCTCAATAAATATGTAGATTAACTGTTGAGGTAGAGTTGAAGGGAGGAGAATTTGGAAAAAAATGTTCTCCAGTTAATTGTAAATTGCTTCCCTACTTAAAAATAAATTTGCATTTTATTATCTTTTTCTCCAGTTTCTGGAAAATGCTTTAGTTGGCGTTTGATATTTGATTTTATACAATTTTGTAAATTTCATGGAAATCTGAATTCTTACAAAGGTTTTGTTGTAGGATTTTCTGTTTTTATTATTGTTGCAAAATGGAAAGAGGTGTTAGTGCAAAGGCAAGCCTGTTCCATCACATTTCATGAAATGTGTTAAGAGAATCATTGAAATTTAGAGCTGATAGGAAACACGTTACAGCTTAATCACCCAACACGCTACTTTGGAACACAATGGAAACTTAGTAAGTCATTGAAAAATGTATCATTTAGTACATTACCTTCATTTCACAATCGAAGAAACTGAGGCCCAGATTACCTGCTCAGATAACATAGGAGGGATTACAGTAAATGTTCTTCGATGTCATTGTGCTTTAAATATGGATTTCACATGTACATTGTAACATGGAAAAAGACTTTAAATTTAGTCTTTGGAAAACTTCCTTTATTTTAAAGTATGCAAATGAATCGAATTCTTAGGTTAGTATCTGTTGCATTTTAGGAAGGCAATAGTAAGAATTGTTCATACAAATCAAAAGGATTTTTTTTAAGGGGAACCCAGAGTAAAATGTCTTTTAAGTGGCTTGTTCAAGGCCTGTCAACCTATTCATTTCCTTTTTCCCTACCATAAGTTTTTGTTGTCATTTTGTTATTGTAAATGATTAGGAGTTCTTAACCACTATGAAAGACTCTCTGTTGGAACCGTGTGTCTTTCTGAATACATAACACATCTCTTACTTTTGTGTATCTCTGAGACTTTCAAGAAATGTTGGTTATTGGGGCACCTGGGTGGCTCGGTGGGTTGGGTGTGGGACTCTTGATTTCTGCTCAGGTAGTGATTTCGTGGTAGTGAGATCGAGCTCCCACGTCAGGCTCGGGCTTGGAGCCTGTTTGGGATTCTCGCTCTCTGCCCCTTCCCCCCAGCTCCTGCAAATGCACTCTTTCTCGGTCTCTCTCTCTAAGAAAAAAAAAATGTTGGTTATTTTGTTGCTTGATTTTCTGTTATTTTACAGGATGGCAAAACGGAGTCAAGTTCGTGTACCTGTTTGAAGGGACCCAAACTCTCAAAAATAGGAACAATTGCCTGGATGATAACGCTCAGTGATGCCCTCCACAATTTCATAGATGGCCTGGCGATTGGGGCTTCCTGCACCTTGTCCCTTCTTCAGGGCCTCAGTACTTCTATAGCAATTCTGTGTGAAGAGTTTCCTCATGAGTTAGGTAAGAGGCTCTGTTCATACTGTGAAAGTCAGTCACTTTTGGTTTCAGTGGGTGAGACCTTTTAGGCGACACACTCTTAAAAATCCCACTGATACATCAAAATGAAGGAACCCTGGTTGGACATTGATGCGTATCTTTTCTCATCCCAAAAGAGCCCAAACTATTCACTTGATGTTTTCTTCTTCTTCTTCTAGGAGACTTTGTGATTCTACTCAGCGCAGGAATGAGCACTCGGCAAGCCTTGTTATTCAATTTCCTTTCGGCGTGTTCCTGCTATGTCGGGCTAGCTTTTGGCATTTTGGTGGGCAACAATTTTGCTCCAAATATTATATTTGCCCTTGCTGGAGGCATGTTCCTCTATATTTCTCTGGCAGATATGGTAAGAAATTATAAAATTTTGTTTTAATTTAAAATTTAGAATTAAACATCTGGGTTATGAGTTGACTAAGGGTAACCTTCCGCTTTCCACAGTGTGGAAGTTCTGTTGTAATTTAAAACATTCTGGCTCAAAAGATAACTCTTTCATATTAGTAGTAATTTGAAAGTGATTCTCACTGATCTTTCGATCTATGATCTTATTGGTAGAAAAAGAAATGATTTTCTTCTGCTGAAGTAGAGCTATTTCCCCAGGTTTTTTTGCCTTGTGGGAGGTAAACCTTGTTCTCTATTATAGTATGTCCCCACGGGACCTCCCCCCCTCTTTTGTGAGGATGTCACATTTAGAAGGGAATAACTTGTTAGAGTAAATAGCATTTTGTTATTTCAAAGCTCTAAACAGTGGCAGCCTTTTGGGTTGAACTAAAGCTGGTAAATTGAAATAGAACAACGTTGACTTGGGTCAGTATATATTTGTATCTGTTTATATCCGTGCTGTGTCTACATCTTTATTTATGTCTTTGTATGTGTGTGTGTAAGAGAGAGAATATCAATGGTCCTGTGCCCTGTGCATTTTCAAATGAATCATAGACAGCTTTCTAGAAAATGAAAATGTGCTCCATATATGCAAATCAAGGAACATTTTCTTTGCATTTGGAACTGAATATGTATTACATACATAATTTAAAAATTTAGCTTCCTTCATCCGCATTCTTAGCTCCAAATGATAACTGTCTAGCTCTGTTCCTTGCTCTTTGCAGGCCCTTATCAGAGCAAGCATTTCATCTCTTGGAACTGTCACTGCATTTATATTTTTCTTCACAGAATTAATGTCTCATGCTGTATCTATGCTAGGGCATCACTTCTTTCTCGGTTATAAGAATGGAATCTATTAGAATTGTTCAGTTTAAGGAAATAATCCTAATAAATGATGCCATATGCCCTTATAGCAGTTTTGCTTTTTTCAGAATAATTTCACAACTTTCACTCACTTGATCCTGGTAACAGCTTTCTTCAATCAGGCACATGGATTGATGGGATTCTGGAGACCTCTTGGATGCTTTGGTACAACGTGCCGTTGTATATATAGCAAATGGTTTTGGAATGTTTTTAAAAGCCGGCATTTACAGATCTTATGGAGCCTTTTCAGTAGAGTTTATTCACTGAGTGAGGGTAGATTTTAAGTACAGAACTTGGAGTTTTGTTTGCTTTTACTGTAATGAGATTGTTATAGCCTTCAATCCTAAAAGAGCACATGATTTATTTAAAAACCTTAAGATTTTGGGGCACCTGGGTGGCTCAGTCATTGGGCGTCTGCCTTCGGCTCAGGTCATAGTCCCAGGGTTCTGGGATTGAGCCCCGCATCGGGCTCGCTGCTCAGCAGGAAGCCTGCTTCTCCCTCTCCCACTCCCCCTGCTTGTGTTCCCTCTCTCGCTCTCTCTCTCTCTGTCAAATAAATAAATAAAATCTTTAAAAAAATAAAATAAAAACCTTAAGATTTTGTGAGGGGTAGAGCAAGTAGAAGGAATTAAATGCATAGTGATTTCTAAAAATTTACTTAATCAGCTACTATTGATTGATATTCCTGTGCCTGGCCTGGAATTTGTAAGGCACTGGGGACACTGGGGTGAGGAAAGGAGGCACAGCCCCTGCATCTGTGGGGCATTCTGTCTTTAAAGAGAGGAAACTGGAAATTCAATGAACAAAATCACACTCCATGACTAAATAATTAAAAGTAAAAAAATCTGTGAGCTAAGAGGAAAAGCAATCTCTGCGGTGAAAGATAATGTTAGAGGAATCTAATGTAACTTAGGAGGGGCTAAGGGAAGCCTTGCTAGAAAGTGTGATTTAAGCTGGAACCTCAAGGGCATAACTCATTGAAAAATTGGAGGCGGAAGAGTTCAGATAACAGTTTGGCTGTGTGTGAAGATTTTGATGGGGGAAGAGGGTGGATCTAGTTGAGGTCCTGAAAGAATGGTGTGGATGGAGCATAGAGAGTAAGGGGGAGAGAGAGAGACAGAGGGACAAATAGGAGGCATAAAATGAGGTAAATCCCATTCCACTGATTCCCTCACTTGGGGAACACTATTTCCATACTTTTATTCCTGTTGGTGTCTGATAGGGCTAGATATCCCTTTAATGCTATCTATACTAAAACATTTACACATCCGAATTAATTCCTCACCCTCGCCCCCGGCAGAAATCTCTAGGCGACTGTTTTACATTTTACCACCAGATGGCAATAGTTATCTAACAATGTCTCTCTCTCTCTTAGTTTCCAGAGATGAACGATATGCTGAGAGAAAAGATAACTGGAAGAAAAACCGATTTTACTTACTTCATGATTCAGAATGCTGGAATGTTAACTGGATTCACAGCCATTCTGCTCATTACTTTGTATGCAGGAGAAATCGAATTGGAGTAATGGGAAATGAAAGATGGTGTTATTAATGAAGGCATTTAATAAATAAAAACATCTCCAAAGGGATATTTAAGCTGATCTTATTTAGTTCAAAGATAATCTTGTTTTCAACTGTAGGTCAAGAAAACTGATTATTGGTTTCAGATCTGTTAAATGGCCATTATCTGTTGTGAAAAACGCTTCAAAGCGTTTTCAGTTCCCATCTGAAAAGACTGGTACACGCGATCTTTGGTCAATACCCACTTCTTCCTCTTTCATGCATTCTATGACCACTTAGACACCCAGAACCAGAGAAAAATACAAGCTAGGTTGTATAAGCCTTTAAACCTCCGTGGCAGGCTCAAAAGCTCACGCGGTTTCAGAGTGGTTTTCTTTCAGTTAATTTGTTCCAGTGATTTCACGACAAGTACATTCAAATGTGGAAGAGGCTCGACATGTATACAACACAGATAGAAATGATTGCAAGGCCTTAATGAGCCCAGGAAAGAAAGATTGCTTACAGCCTCTGTTCCGTTTTATATACCCGTTAGGGACTTGTAGGATTGTTTTAAAAACTGTCCTAAAAAAATGTGAATTATGATATCAGTAAAGTTTTGTTAGCGCTACGAAGTTCAGACTTTATCTCTCACCTTATCGCTAAGTGAAAGCTCTGCCAGATCCCACACAAATCCAGAATTAATTTTTTTAAATGACTTAGGTTGTAATCGCACCAAGGCACACGGCAGAAAATGTGAGGCTGGGGCCGCTCGGCTTCGGGATACCGTGTGTTTTTGCATTGTGAAGGGAACGACTATGTTGGTTTATAGAAAGAAACAATGTAATTTTTAAGCAGTTTACTTTTAAAAATAAACACAATTATTTAGCAGAGGATATTTTAAATAAATGCAAAATAACAGGCAGATCACTGTATGGCAAGGACTGATTAACTAGAAAACACATTCCTTACGGATGATTGAGAGTGATCCGAAAAGACTTCTGTGTTCAGTCTACATTTTTTCTATATGGCACATCTTGAGGAAAACTTCCACACACCATGGTTATTTTTGTAACTCTTTTAGGTGGTAGGGCCTATTTGCTCCCTTAGCACCTATAGAAAGCTGGGCTGCAGTTGAACATCCTGACCCCAATTCACAGTCCCACGGCACTTCAGGAGACATGATTGACAGTGAGGAAAGTGATGGATAACAGCCAACAATGATCTCAGGAATCACATTTTCCCACAGGCCATACAGTGATGTCACACAGCAACAATGCAGATTATATCAACGTTTAACACGTCTGTTAATGTAGATTTCACTTTATGACTGACAATTTAAAAAATTCTTGTTTGACCAAATAGTAAACACCTCTGAAGCCATGCACTGGGTTCTTCGTTATTCATTTTAACATATATCCTTTTGAGTGACTTCCATGTACCTGGCATTATGGGGAGAGAGATAAATAGGAAATTGGTGATGTGTTTATTGCAAATATAACAAATATTATTTGTTATTCAGCAAATAAATACTGTAAAGATTAATCAGTAAACCTAGAATCTATTTTTATCATTTAATCTGTTTACATTCGGTCTTAAGAAATAATCTTTACCTTTTTAAAGCACAGATTGTATGTCTGGGTTAAGAAGCTATTTACAACATGATATTAAAACAAGATAGTTTAATGAACTCTCATTTGGTGTAGATCATTGTGTATGTGGGCTACCCGGGTGCTTTATATGACTTTCTCCACTTGATCTTTTGACTGCTTTCCTCAACTATGAGGAGAGCAGAGGCAATAGGACACGGAGGCCCAAGAAGCAAGAAGAAAATTACTACATATTGGAGGTTATGGTTGTAGGTAGAAAGCAGGATATGGAAAGCCATGATTGCACTTAAATTACCCTAGATAACAATTCAAAAAACCGGTTAACGTATCTTATACTGAGGCATTCGTTATACTAGTTGAAGGTTCTATAATTTGAAAACTTTAAAGATGCTACTATGACACATCAAAAATGATTTCAGAGCATTATATTTGGGGTTATGTCCTTCTACTTTTGCATTTTTGAACTTAAAAAAATGCCTATTACTAGCTGGCATTTTTTTTTTTTTTTTTTTTTGAGTACTGAATCAGACCCTGTCTAACCCAGGCTACCACAGACTGTGGGGCTTGTAAACAACAGGGATTTATTTCTCACAGTTCTGGAGGCTGGAAGTCCAAGATCAAGGCACTGGCAGATCTGGTGTCTGGTTCATAGATAACACCTTTCTTGCTGTGTCATCACACAGGGAAAGGGGAAGGGAGCTCTCTGGAGCCTCTTTTAAGAGCACTAGTCCCATTCATGCGGGCTCTACCCTAAGGACTTAAGCCCCTCTCAGAGCCCCCCCCCAATATCATCATCTTTGGGGGGTTAGGATTTCAATATATAAATATTTGGGGGACGTAGATGACCCCTATTACTGTGCTGACATGGGGAAACAACCCACCCAAAGAACCTGAGGCTCACAGCATGTTATTCTCATGCTCACAGGTCTGCAGACGAGGTTCAGCTGATCCAGCCTGGGCTCGGCTGGGTGGCCCCACTCCCGGCTGGGGGTTATCTAGGTTGGGCCACTGTAGTAGGAAGTGATGCCGTCATGTGGCAAAGGTCAGAGGCATGCAGTTCTAGTATAGGAGGAGAGTGGAGAAGTTCAAATGGTTTCAATTTACCTTTAGTCTCCAGAGACTATTATTTTTACCTAGTAGAAAAATAGCTCATATCAATAATAATTCACCCACAGCTTCCAGAATTAGCTTCGTTTTAACTCTAACATTTATCCTCATTCCTTTCATAAGAATATGATTTTCTGTCCTTTACCAGCATGTTAGTGTGTGTAAATGTGTGGATGCAACACTGCTCTACCCTACATCAGGATACTTTGTTGTTCTTCAGTCTGTGAGTCTAACCCTGCCATGTCCATTTCTGCAGCAGTTACCTAGCATGGCCAACATGGGAGTCCAGGTGTCTAGCAGTTTCTGACTGGAATTTCGTAATGATCTTGAGATGCTAGGTAAACTGCCATATCTACAAGTGTTTCACCGGAGCTCAAATTTTTTAAAAAATGAATTAATTGAGAAGAACCAAAACAGCCCTAGGAGTTTAGCAGATACTTAGCGTAGGTGTCTTCCCAGAGCTAATGGCTGATGGCCTGTGCCAGGGGACGAACTGCCAGCCTGCTGTCCCTGCTCTGATTGCCATTGACTTCCTTTGGGGCTCGCTTTGGTTTTTATCTGGGGGCTACCATAATTTCCAGACTCTCTCTGTGTCTCCTTAAGTTCCATTAGAGGACAAGAGGTTCTTAACCCTGCAATAAATAAATTCCTCACCCCGCTGTTGTTACAGCTGCTTTCTCACTGACACTTTACCTTCTCCCCACTGCGGGTCGCAATAGCTGAGCGAGATTGCATTTCCCTTCGCTGCCTTTCTGTGCTGACCGTGCACAAGGCATTCCCCTGTGGCCACTTCACTTCCTGTATTGGAGGCTCCCAACTTCCGTAGGTCTCATAAGCAGGGACTTTACTAGGAAGAATTCAGGTAGGCTAGGGCAGCAGGATGAACTAAAAACTCTAAAGACCTGTGCCATTAATTCTTAAGATGGGCATTTCCCCCCTATTTGAACATTTCCAAGTGACATACTGCTATCGTTGGCAACCAGGTGGCATTGTGGGGATACTTATAGTTAAGTGAAAATGAAAGTCATCTGCTGGGATCTGGTAAGGTCAAGAAAATGCCAGTATCACTGTGTTTAGGATTTGATGGTATATAATAATAGGCACCTAAACATGTTAGGTTTACTTTCCTTCCTACAAAAGAATGTGGAAGAAGCAATACAGGGCTGACATGGCAGTTCCTGGTCATTGGGGATCCAATCTGTCTTCTGTGGCTTCTGACTTTAAGAAGACTTCATGTTGTAGGATATTTGCTAGAGAAATCCAGTCTTGAAGTCTAATTCCACAGAGAAGGGGGGGGAATGGGTAGAAAACAAAAAATTCACATCTAGCTCTTCATCCCCCATAAAGGAGCCTCCTCGGAAAGAACATACAACAACCTCTACTTACATTCACTGGTGAGAATGAGTCATATGGCCACACTTACTTGAAGGAGAAGCTGAGAAATGTTGCTTCTAGTTGGATACACAATCACCAATAAAATCAGGGTTCTGTTACTAAGAAGAAGCAAAGAATGGGTATTGGGTAGACTAGTGGCCTTCTCAGGTATAGACAGGTTTGTGTCTGGTTCACTCGGGGAACTTACTATTCTAGATGGTTCTGACACAGCCAGTTCAGGAAACTGCTTCTTTTAGGGATTCTCATGATTTCTTTCAGATTAATTCCTTGTCACCTTGACCATTTTAACTATACTGGCGCACCTGACAAGTCTTACCTCCAAAAAGTACTGTTCATACACATTGGTACTTCCCTTTATAGTTCCTGTGTCTCAGTCTGTTGTGAGTACTACTTATTTACCTTGAAGACATCCCATGTTCTTTTACAGGATAGTCTAAATTCTAAGGAAACCGAAATAAAACTCTTTTCCTATGGACTTTGATCTCTTTGTTTAAAGCTCTTTTGGTCACCAGGCGTATGTCCAGAACTATGAAACTAAGTACTATTAGCAGATTTTGGCAAAAATAACATTTAAAAGTCATTTATCCCTCCACCTTTCTCCACCCGGGTAATCAGAGCTATTTAGCATAAGCAAAGTTGGGTCAAAAATGTTATTTGTCACCAGATTTTGTAGGTAACTAGATAGGCCACTGGAGATATCAAATCTCAAGGTCATTTAGCTTGCATGTGCACAGCAAGATTATTAAAGAACGGTGCTCATGGTAGGGCTTGCATGTGTTAAACTGTATATGGTGGCTTAATTCCTACTGCAGTGATTGTGCATGTTATCCCCACAACTGTATACACCAATCTGTGGTAAAGCCCCAGTAAGGCAACAAGTGAATAATTTATGACATGTTCGTGGTCACCAAAGGGATGTTTGATCAGGGGTCATGGGAAAGAAAAATAAAGATGTAAAATTATGAATGGCAGGCAAAGTCTCTTAGGAAGAATTAAAGTCAGAAATGCTTCCCTCCCTCAAAAGGCTGAAGAAGTGTATAAAACCCCTCTCATTCTGTATTTTGGGGCAGGGTCCACAGCGGGCCCTGCAGAATCCTTGGTAGGAGCTTGCTGCAGTCGGGATGGACAGGGTGGACTGGTGTCTGACTCCCGCCCCCCCCTCCCCCCAGGAAACAGAGAGGCTGAGAGTTTGCTGGTGAGTGGCTTTGGAGGTCAAGGGGGAGAGATACTGCTGTATTCAGCTAGACCTTCAGTCCTAGAGTTTTTGGACAAAGGATACATGAATATTCCCCTGGCCCGGTATGAGCCATGCAGTGGGCAAGAGATCTATCTGGTCTGGAAC